TTACCGTCCATACCCAGGAAACGGGTCATCGAACGGTAGATGGTATAGTGAAATGCGGAGGCATCCAAAGCTTGCAGCCCATCATCTCTTAGGAAGGCCGACTCCGAGTTGTTCGTAAGCTTGATGCCAGCGCCTGCATTAGCCGCGCGCTGATCTGGCTGGCGGCCGCGGCCGAGGTAGAGACTGCCAAAGCTGTCTCCGGATGTGATTTCGCCGGGGAGGAAGAAATTTTTCTTGCCAAGTTTCTTCGCGCACTCACGGTAGGTGGCAATCATCTCACTCAGGGGCTCGAGGGTCGCTTGCACAGACTTATCAAAGCGGAAACCGTCGATATCCAGACTCGCGATTTGAAGGCAGGAATGTTGAGTGAGCACATCGCGGACCGGCTTGTGCCATTCACGTAGGCGGTCCTGCACGGAGGCAAACTTCGTAAGTTGTCGCTGCCAGTCGGGGAAGTTGCCGAATGCCTCAAGCTCTCCATATTGATCGAAGTCGCTGTTATAGCAGCCCTTCAACTCCTCAACCCCCTCGGTTGTTAAAGGGAATCCAGTCTCATCCCAGAACTTAGGATAGTTGCAAGTCTCGTTATACTCGTTACCGAATTTGAAATCGACGTATTCTCTGTCGGTAACCCATTGGACTTCATATTCAGATGCTGTGAAATCGGCGGAATCGTTCAGATGGCCTTTGAATCCGATCAGGTTGCTCATTCTGTGTTTTAAGGTCAGCTCATGAACACCCAAGGATCTCCAGGGCTGGGGCATCGACTTACGTTGACAGTGTGTTGTCCATCAACACATACATGTCCCGTTTGTGGATCTCGTCAATAGTCCGCCTCCAGTCATCCAGTGTTCCATAATGCATGTCGAGCAGAGTGGTATCGACCGGCGAGTACCCATCGTATGCCCAGGGCAAGTTCATCAAGTACGTTCCGGCGAAGTAGATGACCTTTTGGGGTTAGCGATAGAATCATCATGAGGCCGGGTTAACTAACCTTGAATCCCATTCCCTGGATATAGTCCAGCGTATCTACCAAGCCGTCCAAATCACCGCCGTGGCGCATCTGATTAGAGTTGATCACATGCTCGAATGCGGTCCCGTTGATATCGTCATTTGTGGGGTCGCCATTGGCTATACGATCCAAAAAGATTGTATATGTTGGGAGGCGCCAGTTATCTGGTGATGGATGATACTCATGGTCCGGCCATGATCCCCAATAATCGATTGGGCCTTCAGCGGATTTGTTCTCATTTAGATTGTATTTAGTGAGTGACCCATCGTAGGGCCAAGAAAAAGCAAAAACGCTCAAAAACGACAGTATGAGGGAGGCCGAGCGCTGCATTTCCGTGTATAATACTCTTATCAGCAGGAGCCTGCTGCCGGAAGAATGCGCAACTCAAGAACGAATGAAAGGAGTCTTTGACAGATAGCGAGAGTGAGATGAGTGAAAGAACAAAAAAATCAACTGAAACCAAACATTTCACCGATTTCTAAGATTTTCCAGAATACATTTTTATGGAGAGCAAACCCTTATCGGGCCGAATGGATGGCTATACATAGGCTGACCCACGTAGCCCACCCACTCAGATTTTATCTATCCACTGCTTTGCTTTTTGCCGCATGCTTTTTGGGCCCGTGTCTCAGATAGATCCATCGGATTTGAGTCATTTGCTACAGGTTAATTGTTAGCAAGGACGTTGTCATGATATTAGTGCGCTCAACCCGAGCACTTTAACTTGGCTTTTGTCGCACGGCATACTCCAGTAAGAAAATCCCTCTTACTAATTGGGTAGTTTACCTACCGTAGACGAAGGTAGGTACATAGGTACATGTATGTGTGCAAACGGTAGTTCTTAGCGATACGCTGCATCATCAAATCACACCGGTGTGGCTGGCACATATGTACGCTGTATGGCGACACGCATTTTCGATATGTCCTAGGTCACAGCACAATATTTCTCTCTTTTCACTTTCGAACTGCATCATGCAACCGATAATCATCGAGGCTTGTCTTCTTCATTATTTCAAAAGTTGTAGTCCTAGGACACTAGTCCTTCTATTCTATACCAAAAATGTGCAAACAAAGGAAATTGGATGTTGGGTGAAGGAGGCCATTCTTTGAAACACCTGTCTCTACTATTTTCTTTAAAAAAGAAAAGTACACAATAATTCCAACTGTTTTGGAGACATCCTGTTTTACCCTGATATTTTCTACTATTTCGGTAAAAGTTGGTATCTTGGTAGTGTGGGCTTTTTTTTCCTTTCGGGTCCGCCCGCCGACGTCGCAACTTCGGTTTCAGACCATCGAATATGTCTCGAGGCGAATCAGGGCGAAAACAACCCACTCTAAGAACTTGAAATTCCTCGGCAGAATATATCCTCGTCTTGGATTAACTATCCTTCGAGCCTGCTTCGCGGGATTTATTCGCTTGTTCCCATGCATACGAATCTGATCCCGTGTCTTAGATAGAACCGAGCGAATCCACACTCCACATGTACCTAACAATGCCGTCACCCTTCTATGTAGTTGCAATCCTGGGAAAAACTTCTATTCCCGGTGATTTTGTGTCAGTAATCTAATACTGGGGCTGGGGGGACTGATGATCTTGGATTGCCAGCATGATGTCTTTTGTTTTTGTTTTGCTTTTTCTTTGTCGCGCGGCACTCCTAAACAACCTTAGAAGCATCTTTATCACGACGGGCGCGGGCCAAACGTCGCCAGATTCTTGGCTTCGACATCCTAGTGGTGTTCTCAATCGTATTCGAACTATATCTGAACCTTGTTATGTATGTTAGTCTACATGGCGATATCAAACGAGCGTAACGTTCAACCTACATGTACTGTACATGATACACAATGACCCGATACAGGAATAATGTACCGATAAGGCTAGCTTGAATGTACAAACTCCGTAGTCTCACTAAATATAGGACAAGGCGATAAAAGCGTCGATTGGGTCAACCGACCCATATTATTTATTGCTTGTCTTGATTTGAACGCCCCATACAGAGTGGATCAAATTGCATTCCACTCAACTTTTTGATACTCTCACGGCCTGTTTAGAAACACGCTAGGACATATGTGCTTTAGCTTAGTCCCAAATATCGTCATGTATTGTAAGCGAATGTCTTATATGCCACACTGGAGCCTATCAAGAGCATCATCGTGGCAAGCCCACCGACGTAGTGATCAATATTGTATACGAGGTTCAATCGACACCATCCGATTGGGACCAGTTTCACTGTCGGTGGGGCGCCGATTTACTGTCGGTGGGACCCGGATGCTCACCGCGAAGCCCACCAACGCAGTGTTAGTCACTAAGGGCACGACCCGTGGACCGGATAGCAAATTTTCACCGGACGGTAAGGATTAGGCACCTTTTATATAATAATTATGCAGAAAAGGTACATACACCAACACCATCTATACAGTCATAACCTCGATTTTCTTAACCCTCAAAGTAGTCTAACCCTAAAATAGCTAGAGAAAATATGGAAAATATAAACAGTGTAAATGAGGTTTTAACTGTTTAACACCAACTTTAGTAAGAACTATCAAAGTATCCATGGATGCTTCGAACCATGGAAGGCTAAAGCAAGAGAATGGTCAGACCTTTCATATATAATGCTTACATGTGGTGTTTTTATGGTGATCCATGGATCTTTGCACATCTATTAGCACTCGAAGTCTCGATTTTATCTAGGTAGCCGCTACAGTACCGTACTACCGGTCACTGATAGGCAGATTTTCCGTCACAATTTGGGTTTGCCGCCATTACCTGACGCTTCGATCTCATTGTTTTCTGCCTAGGCATTAGCCTACGAGCGGACTCGGGCTATCCGAGATTCTTCCATTCTTCGGTTCGCCGGCTATTTTAAATCGGCGGTTCCACAATATCCTGTCTTAGTTATCCAGGTTCGGATCGACTGCCTTACATATCGGGTATCAACGACTTGACGACTTGCGGTCCTAATGGACTTGCCGTTTGAGGGAATCAGTCCTCCTGTCGCTCTGTTCTACACGCATTTAAAGATTGTAAAAAGGCCACGCAATAGCTATTCTTGCATTTTTACAGCCTTATACATTTAGCGTCAGTTTATTCGGTGAGAAACGGGCCCATCGCTTTCAGAACCAGAGTGATAGTGACTAAATGCTTGAAACCGTACTCTGAGCATTTGTACATAGCTCAGCCACCAAGAGGGAGATTCTTACCTTGATTCTCACCCTCATTACCCTTCTGGTTCTACGAAATACTCGAGTACTAATCCCAAAAGTGACAACATATTCCGACGATACTACACTCACCTGAGTACTCCGCATCCATTAGGGAAGTTGCTGCGTCAATCGAATCGAGGTTGTACAAAACTGACCCTGGTCCCACTGGTGCAAACGGCAAGTGTGTAATGCTACGAAACTACCGACTCAGCGATCAATCCTAGTAAATAGCCGGCCGAATGCGCGGCCCAGCTCCCGTTGGGTTTGGGCTTGCTGGGCCGAGTAAAACGGTTTCTCGAAGGAAAGACTGCATGTTTCACAGGAACGTGGGGTTGATGCAACAATAGTGATTGGGCCCGACCATGCGGATATGTACGACAAAAATGGTCTATAATACATAACTGAGGTGTGTGGTTCTACAAAGATGTGGCGGCTCTGTTGATCTGACGCTTATAGAAAAAGATGGCAAGGTCTCACAGAACAAGTATTTATGTTCAACCTTAAGCAACCTCATTTTCCAGTAAATGTTGTATCACCAACATTCAGGCTCGATCTGATAAAATGGAGCATTTGAGGCGGATTTGGCGCAGAAAATAGTAGGACTACACTAGTGAGTCAGTCCATCACGCTTTGCTCACCATCGTCTGGGATCAGCACTGGGCTTCTGGCAATTGCGTAATTTAAACTGAGTTCGGGTCCCTGCCTACGTATGTATGGAGGGTAGACGTTTAAAGTCGCAGAGATCCGGGATCTAACATACACATCTGTCGAAACTTTGGACGCTATGGCAGACCGTTCACCCGTCAAGTTCACAGTAACAGAGCATACAATTGACGCGCAATATATTCGTGAATATCCCACTGCAACGCTTTCTCAAGATTCTCCTTTACAACTTGTGGTGAAAAAGTATACGCCTATTGACAACCCAAATCCCCAACCAGGCGATGTTACCATCATTGGGGCGCACGGATGCGGCCTCCCAAAGGTAAGTATACAATCTATTGCTTGTCTCGTGATGGATTTTATCGGCTAATTATAATTATAGGAGCTCTATGAGCCGTTATGGGAAGAAATCCTAATGCAAAGTGAACAGCAAGGGTTTCGGATTGGATCGATATGGATTGCAGATATGGCGAGTCTAGGTACCAGCGGTGTTGTAAATGAGGGCATGCTCGGTGATGATCGTGAGTGCACCTTGTTCTACATTTGGATCTCCCGGCTAATCAGTACAGCGTCCCCGTTTGACCATTCTCGTGATATTCTACACATGATCAATCAGTTTCGCCATGAGATGCCGAGGCCCATCATTCGTGTAGGGCATAGTATGGGTGCGACTCAACTGTATGTCGCTTCAAATGAGAGGGCAGCACTGGATAGTAACACATGCTGACATTTCACCCACTAGCACTATGCTATCGCTTGTACATCCCCGCCTGTTCACATCGCTGGTTCTCATGGAACCAGCCTTGACAACAACAATCTGGCCCCACCAATTATTTGTGCTCCTCACCCTCAAACGACGGGATACCTGGCCATCCAAATCTGAAGCCATCGAGTCAGCCGCAAAGTCATATGCACGATGGGATTCTCGCGTCCTGAAGCGGTGGAACGAGCATGGATATCGCAATTTGCAGACGGTTTCCCCACAAACAGATGGAGAAAGCAAACCCTTTGACGGACCAGTCACTCTAACCACCTCAATCTATCAAGAGGCCATGGTGTATCTTCGACCAGACTTCATGGGCCACACTACTTCGGCACTAGCAGACTCCACCAAAGCCCCTCCGCATGACCCTCTCATGTATCCCGACATTATTGATCCTCCCCGCCCAGCGAGGCCATTTTATCGAAGCGAGGCACGTATTGCGCTCAATATGCTCAAACACATCCGACCGCCAGTCTTTTACTTGTTTGGCGGGGAGAGTCAGGTAACAACGCCCAAGGATCAAGCTCAAATTCTCGAGAGGACAGGTGCAGGAATTGGGGGAAGCGGCGGAGTGAAACATTCCCAAGTTGAGAAAACAGTTATGTTAGACTGTGGCCATATGGTCCCAATGGAGAATGTGAATGAAAGCGCGTCTCTTATTGGGACATGGGTGGGCCAGTCTGTGCAGAGGTGGCATGAGGACGAACAGCGAGTCCACCAGAGATGGACTGATCGGTCAGCAAAGGAGGTGCTAACTGCGCCTGCTAAATGGATACCCATACTAGAGGGGATTTTGAAGGCCGAAGCACAGAAAGCGAAGTCTAAAATCTAGTAATATCCAAGTACTTGCGTTCATTTTGCTACTTGGCTTTTAGTCGCCTGCCCCTGCATGAACATGTCCAATCTACAGGCCAGGCCATGTTAGGTCTACATCTATTCACTTGATTATCTTCTCAAACATTAATTACGAAAGACATTTCCGATCAGTATAGACCCTAGGACTCACAACTGGGTCGACTGGGCCAGTGGTCGGCTTGATGCTAGCACAGAGTGCTAAAGATCAACAATACAATTCGCACGGACGATCAACAATGACATTCAACGCAGCATGACAAGCTACATATGTGCAAAGCCACATGAGAGTTGTGTGGTTACACATTACTCTTGGCGGGTCTGCACGTTTCTTCTCGCGGACAGTACAGAAGGTTACGCAGCATTCTATTGCCTCAAAAACAGCAAAGTCAACCCCCAGAAAGGTGAGGTGCATAGCCGATAATGCACTCGACGCATAATATAGAGTTTTGAGAATTTGCAAATTTTTGCAGTCTGTGAAGATCGTCAGATAGTCTCATGGAACTTGTGAACAGACCCCGATTCAACTACGTTGTGGCCTATAAAACTGTGCTTCAAATGAAGCTTCCCCACCCTATGCTCTAGGGTTGATGTCATACAATTGGAACCATATATATTCAGAATCTTTGGTCTCTTCATGCCTTTTTCAGATCTCTCAATTTTGCCCCTGAACATTTACAATTATCTACGCAAAAGATGGTGCCTTTCACCTTTAGCATATCCGAGTACCTGCTCCTGCTGGTATGCCCAGTACTTGCCTACAAAGGCACGCAGGTTATTTATCGCCTATACTTCTCTCCACTGGCCGGGTTTCCAGGTCCACGCTTGGCAGCAGCAACCAGTCTCTACGAGTTCTATTTCGATGTCGTGAGAGGAGGCCAGTTCATGTTCGAGCTTGACCGTTTACACGAAAAATACGGTCCTATCCTCCGCATCAATCCTCGCGAGATACATATCAGAGATCCCAGCTTTTATGATACCGTCTACGGCGGGCCATTAAATAAAAGAGATAAATTGCGTTCGTTTACTCAAAGTGGATTGCCCCTGTCAGCCTTCGAGACTGCGTCACATGGTCTTCATCGTGAGCGGAGGAAATTAATGAGCCCTTTCCTTTCAACACAATCGGTTACAAACCTCCAGCCTCTCATTCAGCAAAAGGTGGATTTGATTTGTGGTCACCTGTCCAGAAGGGTTAATACACGGGAGTTTCTGGACTTGCACGCTATCTTCGCTTCCTTCGCCGCAGACGTGCTGTCCACGTATGTGTTTGGCCAAGCGAATTGCTATGGATACTTGGACAGAGTAGAGGTGACAGATGAATGGAAGAAATATGTTAACAGCCTGTTTGAGGCACTGCTCCTTGTCAGGCATGTCCCATCCCTATTGTATATAGCGCGCAGGTTTCCCACGATTACCGCCTGGTTGTTTCCCCCCTTCTATTGGATTTATCGACTCGAAGTAGTATGCGTGCGGGTATCCTCTAGCGCTGCAAAATATACTGATTGGGCGTTAGGGACTCATTCAGGACGTGAAAGCTGCGTACGAAAAACCAGAACGGGACTCGATGATATCGACTATTCTCTCCAACGAGAAAGTACCTGACGTCGAAAAAGAACTCGAGCGCATGGCGGATGAACTGAAGTTTTTGTTGGTTGCTGGGTCTGATGCACCGTCCCAAGTAATGGCAATCACTATGTTCCATCTCCTTTGGAATCCAGAAACATACCAAAAACTCAAAGACGAGTTAGATGAGGCTTTCCCGATCCTGTCCGAAGCTGACTGGACTAAGTTAAAATATCTTCCCTATCTAGTAAGGCAGCATCAATCCTGTCATTTCCTTGCAGATTGTACTAACAATAGGTGTACAAGTCTGCTGTGTTGAAAGAGGGTCTACGACTGTCTGCCGTTGTGACAACAAGGCTTCCGCGTAGTGCACCAGATGAAGCTTTACAGTACGGAAAATGGACCATTCCACCTGGGGTATGTGTTCGCAAGACTAATATATCTTCTATTGGGTCCCACAACTTTGTTGCGATATTAATATGTTGATGTAGACGGCTATCGGCATGTCCACCCATTCCATCCTACGAAGCCCCGATATCTATACCGAGCCGATGAAATTCATTCCAGAACGCTGGATGGGTCCCACTGAGGAAGTCCGTGTACTGGATAGGTACCTCGTTCCGTTTGCGAAGGGAAATTCAAGTTGCATGGGTCAAAGGTAAGTGGTTTGTAGTTTCTTTGCCGACTCCGGGCGAATGGCACTAATATATATAAGCATGACCTACTCATGGCTATACGCAGTTATAGGCACCTTGGTACGCAAGTTCCAATTGGAGCTTCATGAAACTGACGAGAACAATGTTCGCATTGTTCGAGACTGTTTCAATGGACAGACAGTTCCGGGGCTCAATTTGATCAATGTGAAAGTCACCAAAGAATTCAACTAGAATGTTCTGCAATCATGTGGATCATCCATCTGTTTGCATCTTGACTTATAAGTCGACTTCAATCTTCAATCTACTTTGCACCATCTCGGTTCAAACTTCAATTTTAATACATCTTCTCGATCTAACACCGGCTATTTCTTCCCCTGGAACTAGAATTTCGACAATTCCTAACTTCTAACTATAAGTTCTCTCTTTTAATTTTATCTACCTGATTATAGTTTATTTCATAGAGGATGAATGGGATGGCGAACACGGCATGGAAAAAAAAGACTGACACGCGTTACTCGGCTGTGATGAGAGAAATGCTCCAATTTGGCAAAAAGGCCCAAAGAAATAAAAGGGAAACTAACTAAATAGGACCTACCTCAAAGCCTACCTCTTCGCATTTAGGCCCTAGGCCCAAAAATATAATCCCGATCAACTGAAAGGCGTCCGGCGGCAATCTCCATCTGGTAGTGCTCAGCTAGTCTTGCGACGATAATCATCCAACCTCGATAAGCAAGGTCCTTGTCACAGTTCATAACCGGGAACGAGATATAAAGCTCCTCCCGGTGGTGCAAGGCATCATAGTGGGTGACCTTGCAGTTTTCAGCACGGCAACGGTCAGCCACAATGTCCATCAATTCTTCATCGGAAGAGAGGCGGTCCTCAGGAGAAAGCTTCACCGACACCCACCACAAATGGGGCATGGTGCTGAGATTCTCGTAGTGAGGCTGGCCGTCCGACAGGAAGATGGTACGGGTGCGCGTCAAGGCTGCTCGTCGTGCCGAATCCATAATCTCGAGGGTTGCGGTAGCTTCGATCTAAATATGGTCAGCTGTTGGGGGTTGTTGGGTTTGGTTCGTTTTTCTGCGATAGGGACTGCTTTTCTGTCTGATGGTAGAGACTAGACGGGGACTCCGAGGCTATTTAAATATAGGCAGTGGGACAATGGATAGTTCTATCGAGAGGCCGTCTTTGACCTAGTTGAAGACAGAGTCTTTCAACCCAAGGTTGTTACAATGCCTTTTGTCGATCCTTTGACTAGCTACTATAACACCCAATATCTAAATATTATGTATAATGAACAAAGCCTTGGTCGAAGCCTTTCACTGCTTTGATTCAAGATCAAAGAGCCAAAGAACAAAGCCTCCATGGTTGTCCATAAACGCTATCCCTTCAAGGAATTTGGCATTGTAAATGAACGTTGGTCTGATGTTCGGTTCTTCCAATCAGGGAACAATGATATTTCTCGGATGGTGTCTATCAATTCGAACTAGACCTAGGTAGCATCTATCCTGTATGCAGCCATGTGTGAAACTCGACAAGCTTGGGGAATTGATGCGCAAATGAGTATGAGTCAAATGCAACAATAAAGAGCATGTGCAAGAAGAATTGCCAATTTGACATCGTTTCCCACGCTCCCAACAAAGAGAGAACAAATCCCAAAGGCGTAGCCATAACTACAAAGGAACGCAATCGATATGACAAAAGAGTTCATTAATCGTGTACCTGGATACCGGCTAGGGGTTAATCAGCCAAAGAAACCCTGATGCGTCATTTTAATGCATGGTTTCAACAAGCCGAGGCCTCTCCAGAACTTCCAATACCGCCCATTACTCAACATAGTTGGCAGGGAAAGGTCCCTTCTGCCCTCTCAACTCGCCTTCCCACCAATCGTCTGTGCTATTCGTCTTCTGCACGACGCGAATGCGATCCCCTTCCCGGAAACTCAGATCACCATTCCCCTGGCCATCAAAGTCGTACAGCGCCGTGACAAACACTGGACGGGAAGCTGCCGGCGGTGGTGGCGGGGGCTTTTTCTTCCCTATGGCAGCAGCCATGGGTGATACTTTGGCCTGGAAAGAGTCTATGTTTGGGCCGGCAGGTGATCTCACCACTCCCGATGGAATGGGAGTGGCTTGGGGGGTCGGTATGAATGTCGGACGAGGCGGGTCGAAGTAGTCGCCGCCCGTCGAGAGAGGGTTGGATCCTGCTGCGTTTCCAACGGGAATTGCGCTGCTCTTGCGACTAGTTGTTGACAAGGGCGGAGAGGGAGGGTATTCTGGTACGCAGGGTGTCTGGCTCGACGATCCTGGTGTTTGTGATCCCCGGCGGAAAGAAGCTGGAAGTGAGACGGATGAGGCAGTGCTGGGAACGCGACTTCCAATTGATGGACGTTTCCTGTTATCTTGATCGGTGGCGGCTCGACGCATGGCCTTGCCTTGGGTCAGGGAGCCGAAGCTTTCTATTTCGGCTTGCACAGGCTTGAAGGCGAACTCCCAGTCTTGGACGACTTGTTCCATGGCTGGTGGCGGGGAGGGAAATCCCTCTTCTTCGCAGTAAGTGTGGAGCACTGTGTAATAGTGCGCAAGCATACGGTTTTGGATCTCGACCTGTGCTTCGAGGATGTACGGCGTCAGGGAGAATATGAGAGCGACCAATGTTGGGAGTCGCTGTCGTAGATCATGGTCGGCAGCTTGGTAAGCCTTGGATAGCGATTAGTGTTTCTTATTCTGTGAGTAGTATGGGGCATTGGGGTTTGTACCTCTTTCGTATTGGCAAGTTCTACCTCCGCTTTAGCTAGGCTCACATTTTCGCGATCGGTGCGCTTTGGCTTTTTCATGAGGCTATCAACACGCCCTTGGGAGATTTCAAAGTCGGTCTGGGAATTGGGATATTAGCGATAACCAATCCACCAAAATCTCTCATTTCCATTATGTACCTTCTTGTCATTTCGCTTTTTGATCGTCTTTTTCATCGGCGCAAGCGATTCCTTTGCCCGCGCAGCTGGCTGGGACATGCGAGTATCGACGGCACCGAGTTCCTCCAAGAGATCGGTACGTAACTCATCGTATTCCTTCCGCAGTCGGTTTGTTCGAGCTAATCTGACGGGGTCTGTATCCACAGCTTTGTGGTTGGACGGGGTTTCTGAGGAGCCAATGATAGGACCGTAGAGGCCGTCGAACTCATCGACAAGGCGACTCTGGTAAGTTGCTATAGAGACCCAAGCATCACGCCAGGTTTGGGTAGATTCCACGATCTGATCAAAGAACACGTATTAGGAAATGCGACCGGACGCGCGTCATCGTAAGATTACCTTGCCCAGGAGTATATCTGCATCGTCGAAATCTTTTAGAAGTACCGCAATTTGGCTATCGTCTGCAGACGACTTCGTCGTCATGCGACCAAAGCGTCTCGACATGTTCTGCATATTGATAGGCAGCTGAGAGACACGAAACAGGGAGAAAGTGATAATAGAAGTCGCACACGGCAGAGTACATATGTACTTGAAACAAGAACAAACTTTAATTCCCAATATTAATCAATTCCTTCAAAATGGAGAATGGAGAAGGAATGAAAGAAAACCGTCCAAGGTCCAAGGTTGGAGGTTGCAAAGGGGCTTAACTCCCCCTCATGACACATAACTCGGCCCCAGTGTTTCAGCCTTTCATGCGGCTCTCGCTTCACGGCCCCCTCCACGGCCCCCTCCACGGGCCCCTCCATTGGTATTCATTTCGGGAAGGAGGTAGGTCAATCACCCCAAACCCCTTCTCCACTCTAGATCCATCATATTAAAGGGGTAATGGCCATCAATACGGAGTAATGGGGCACATGACAAGTATATACATGTGCTACTTTGGGCCATTAGCTTGCGCTCCATGAAATTACAATGTACAAAGATGAATCCATCTATTCATCTAAGATGTAAACGGCGGGACCTGTGAATTGCCTTTTCAAATTAGTTTTGCCCTTTTGGGTTTGGCGCCCCAATACTCCATACGCTGTCACGTAACCTCCCTTCAATGCAGGTGCCCCCGATATAAAAGACCCACCGTCTTCGCCGTTGTAAACTATGGCTGACCCTTATCGCCTCCACCCTCCCCTTAAGCTCTTAGGATCGGGATGATTTGCCTAACTGTGACGATCTAGAAGGATTCTGCCAAATGAGGCGGTGAGAGTGACCACGCTACAGTAATCACCCGTCGAGTCGCCCACCGACTCTGACTGTTGTTCTTCCCCTTCATCCAAGGTCCTTTCTACTACTTGCGGGCATTACTCTGTTGTCTGTGTTACCTCGTCAATTTTACTCCAGGGCTATGATGAGGATGGAATCTAATTTCAACACTGCTCCTGAAGTCGTCGGAAAAGCTATTACTCACTGTTGCTCCTGCATATATCTGCGAGCAACGTTGTTCTACTTGTGCGAGAACCCAATTAAATGAACCCAATCTAGCTTGCTTTGCAGCATGCTGTTATGCTCTCGGGGCAGCCAGACAGACGATATCAGCAACAATAGAGTGACAAATATAATTTTGGGCGTCAAGCCCGTACAAAGTGCAAGAGAAAGACGTGAAAAACGCAGTGTCGGTTTCCCCCTGGGCTCCCTGGTGTCCCTGGATCAGTGAGAGACAAAGTCAACACCAAAATCGCATTTTCATCTCCGGCTTGCCCGTAAATCGACCTGCTGCACCGCGCATGGGGCTGCTTCGATATCTCTGTATCTCTGTATTCCCCAATCTCTCCATCTCTCCCTCTATCATCATCGACATCACCGTCCCCGTCTCATCTGCATCATCGTCGATCTCGCATCTCCGCCATGGGCATCCCTTCTGGCCCTGTCGCATCATTAAAGCCTTTCGTTGGTTGCATCTCCTCGCGCACTTGGGCCTGGATCATCGCCAAGCCTGACACAGTGAACATATCCAGATCTTGTACCCACCATGGGACGTCGTCATCTTCATGTTTCATGTCGCCTGCCGTTCTCTCCGCTTGTATGCGTGAAACTCTCGCTAAGGGGATGGCGCAGGCCCAAGGTGATCCGCTGTACGATGCTATCTCAAGTCTCTCGACTTCAATGTCCCGTGCCGTGTCTCGATATTTTCGTTTGCGAATCGCGCTCACTGGCGTTAGCGTTTGGCTGCTCCGTTTTTTTAGCCCGTTTTCTGTGGTGTAGGTATCACCATCACCGCGCGGCGGTCCAATGCAGCGTCGTCCTGTCATCCGTCCGAGTGTTTCACTTCCTCTATGGTTGGCATGCCAGGTTACCAATTCATAACCCCACTTCTTAAGACTACGCAGCCTCGTACGTGCCATTCCGAGATATATGGATTTATCCATTACAGCTAGTTTTCCGAAGGTCGAAATCGAATTATAATTCGTAAGGGAGGAGCGGCCGATAAGGCTTTAAGGAGGGCACGTTTCGTCCTTTATACCTTCTAGGATAGTATTAATACGACTAAAAGACGTGTGTTTACTAGCGGGTAGCGCTTTATTTACCCTCTCGAGGTAAGAATATATTTTATACTCTCTCGCTAGTTCTCTTCTTCCCTTTATACCTTTTATATCTTATATATTTTAAGTTTTACTCTTCGTCCCCTTTACTGTACCTTTTTATTATTTCTCCTTTTATTATAGCTTCTAGAGGTCCTGTAACGACCCTAAGGCGTATACGGAACGATCCTACATTAATAGCGGGGAGTCTAGGAACTAGTCGAAAGTTATTTAATACTCCGAAGTATAGCGTATCGATGTGAAGAGCTGAAGCCAAATTGATTCAATAATGACTAGGCCAACATGCTGTTTACAAGAAGCTTGGAGAAGAGAAGGAGTGAAGCAAGCAGGACAGCAAGAAGTATAGAGCAAAGCGGTGGCAGAACTGGGAACGTACGGGGGAAGGCTATATGGCAGCGCCATATAGTGGGAAGCGGGTCTAACCCGTTACAATCGGCCTAGTATATCTACTATTTCCGCGTCTTACTTTATAACTAGGATAGTAATAAGAAATAGAAGTAGCTATTTAAGGTTAAATACTATTAGGATACGTATCTATCTCGCCTCTATTAATAATATAATAGAGCTAGGGATATAATAGGTTAGACCCGCTTCTTACTATATAGCCCTACTGTTCCCGTTGATAAAAAATATTGATGTTGTTGAAGTAAGATAGAGTTCTGTTCTCAAGGCATATCAGAGAATGACCATGAAGTAGAATGAAAAAAAGAAAAGCAACGAAAGAAACAGGAATCAGGGCAAATTGGCTCCTGGGAGGGGCTCGAGCAGATCTATGCGTAGATTTCTAAATCTCGACTGAGAAATCTTAAGAGATATCTCGCGTATATCCCGACAGGCGAATTCATACAAGTCATCGTCGATCCGCTCCCAGAGATAGAACTTGTCGTTAGATTGGAATATCGTGTACATAGTCATGTTATCCTCCATGACCGGTGTTGCTGGTCCAAGACCATAGCATCGGGCAAAAGTCTGACCTAGCGATTCACTACCTTCCCATTCGCGGCGAATCTCATGGCTTGATAGCTCGGTGGTCCAGCCTATAGGGACGGTGAACTACCTAATCTTAGTGACTTAAATTAAACAAGGAAGGAAGTAGCGTATACTCACCGGTGGTAGAGGGGAGCTCATCGCGGGTGAATTGATAGGCGAAATGGAGGCAGGAGGACGCGCAATCTGAGGCTATATTGCTAGCATGACCTGCGCTAATAGTGCTGCGTGAGATACTCACAGGTGGTAGGGCACATCTGTTCGCTTGTAGTTTGAGGGGTGAGGCACGCCTAGGAGATCGCACAGTCTGAGATTGTATTAGTGATATGATTTGCTCAAATGGTGGCATTTTGCATACTCACAGGTGACGGGGTTAGACTTCTGGTGGGAGGCATATTTGAGTAGATCAAATGTGGGGAACGGGAGGTGATGAGCGCTGGATGACGAGAGAGTGAAGGACGCGCTACAGCTTTAATTCGATGGAAGTAAAGGAAATGGTCTGAAAATAGAAATGAAAAGTGGGTCCAGGAAAAATGGCTAGATTGAGAGCGAACCGCGAAAGCCACACAATAGAGCAGGGTTTGAGCAGTTGAAGTTGACAGGTGCTTTGAATATAGGGAACTTCAATGATAATAGGAAGATTGAAGTCGAAAGATAAGAGTTGGATGAATGGTCGATACAGGGTAATTTGTCTAGAATGCATGTGACCATTAGAAAAGTCGGTACACAAAAATCGGGTCCACGGGTCCACCCCCGTACCTAGGTAGGTCCATACACCTAGTATACTATGTACTTTTTATATATACTAGCGTGGCGAGGGCGACTTAATTTTCAGCAGACACGATACAAAGTATAAAGGATTAGTTAAGGTAAACCCAGTAACGAATATAGACATACCTAGGTACTGTATATGAATAATAGTTTCTATTAGTGAATGATATTATTAAATACGCTGGGCAAAATAAAATGGGGTGGGAAAGTTAGGGACATACAGTGGCCATTTTATAGCGAGTCACGACTCCAGCTCTTCAACAATCCATCTCGTCTCCATATTCATCAGCAATCCATCTCGTCTCCCTATTGTCAGCAATCCGTCTCGTCTCCCTGTCCGTTAACAATTCATCTCGTGCATTCTACGTATGCAGCACGTTCTGCCAAACATCCACCATGGCAGCGACAAGCCAAGGCATTCTGAAGGGGTTCAACGGGATACTTGACATGAGACTTGCTTATGAGTGGAACCGTGATCAGGTAAGTAAACAACGATGTTGGTTTGCATTTGCCCTCCATATAGGAAACGCTGACGAATATTGTGGGTAGATACTTTGCTTTCTGAAGCATGTGGTAACGAATGCCTATCTGTATGGTATTGAGCATCAGGATGTGCCTCATATGAGAGAAATCTTCTCCCATATCGAGAGGCTATGGTAGGAGAAAAGCCATCCTTACCTACCTACTACGGGGCTTGATCTGACCATTTGCTGTTCCTAGTGCACCTAATGGCATTGACTTTGCGTCGCCGGGCTTAGAACCCCCTCAATCAATCCTCCGCGTCCTCAACCCGCGCTGGGATCCTTCGGCTCCCAAAATCGCTTCAAAATTCCTTGTCCGAACCTTTGTGCATAACGAGACTCCGTATTGGTCTTTATTCGACATGTTGGGGCTTTTCATCTCCGAGATTGGTCCTGCTCCGAGCGGAGCGACAACACAGAATTTCTTCCTTCCACTCCTAGCTGTGTATGCTAGATGGTGTCGTGTTCTAGGAGGAGCTGAGCCCCCAACCATGTATAATAGTACATGGGTAGCTTCTGGCCCAGGCAAGGGCAAATTCGGTTTAGGCGCATCTATCAAAGGATACCGCTGCATCGTCAACCCACTAATGTGGGCAACCGAAGTAAGGAAAGCCCGATTCAACCTCATCAATGATGATGACATGGCTGGAAAGGGCTACACTATGACGGATAGTCCTCAGTATCGTCTATATGGGATCAAGATTCCGTTCGGCAATTGTGCTGAGGTATATCCGCTCCTCAACGTCCTTAAGTGAGTCTACCCACAGCCTTAGGGCAATACTCTATAATGACCAGATAGGGGCAACACCAACTCCGCCGCAGTCCACGGGATTGCGTTACGGAGCCGTGGGGTCATTCCAGCAGCATACGAGGACAATCTGTCAGGAGCAGTGTGGAAAAATGTGAGAGCTTTGTGCACGAATTGTGAATAGGTAGTGCGTATGTGGGGCAGTTTGATTGCCAACTTTGATCCGTTAGCTGATACTGATGGGGTACCGCCATAATGTTTCATTTAGTCAGGGTGGTCTAGCGTGGGTATTGCGTTCGATCTCATAGACTCAAGGGACTTTCCAAGGCACATCTTATTCTTCTCCCCTTTGTCTTTGGACTGGGACTTGCTCTAGGATTCACTGGTCTTCTATTCTTTAAGGCGCCTGAGTTTGTTCCCAAAATACGTCTAAAGCCTCCTATACCCAACGAGGTCTTTGATAAGCGGGTGAAAGTACCATTTGTACCCGACAACAGGTGCTATGGCAGTGGCGATGCCGTCGATCAAGGCTGGAAAGAAATCACGAGAGGTAAGCTATTTTATTTCATCTCACCAGAGATAAATATGGTTAGTAAATACAAGTGGGGAAAAAGAACTGATTTTCAAACCCCAGGGGGTGATTCCATCTGGCTGCGAAATCCATCGGATTATGGCCTAGCCAAGGGTATTTCTGATCCTTTTTACGAGGATAACACGGATGAGCGGTTCTACCTCTTGTCAAACCTTCACCAACTTCATTGTCTCGTAAGTGGCGAAATGATGTCTAAGAAAAAGAATGACATTTTTGGTATTGCAATACAAATCTGACATCGGGTAACTGTTCATTAGCATGTTGTTCGGCTACGCTTTCGCCAATATGAATCTCAACTCAGTAAACCCGTCAACGAATCAGAGACTACTGGAGCGGACTGGAAAGAGCATACTGACCACTGCTTTGAATATCTCCGCCTTTCGATCACATGCGGAGACTTCCTGGTTCTGGAACCTGCCAGCCCACGGGAAACACCGCCCGAGCTGACAGCTGGCGGGCTGGGATGGGGGGTGGTACATGAATGCATTGACTTTGATGCTTTACGGAAATGGCAGGCTGAAAAGAGACACGAGTTTAAAGTTTCACTACATTAGCTTACATTTGTGTTATTGGAAAGGATTTGGATCTCTAACTTTTTTACCTTTACTACAACAAAATGGCTGCAGATGGCCTCACGAAGATGCTCCAGTCCCAACAGCATTTCCAAATTGATGAAGGTGCTGGGAGTAGTTGACATTGAGCATCTCATCAAAGATGGGTCGTGAATAAGCATCACCAGCAATCCAGGAGGGGTGTGTCCAAACGTGGGATATTTTACCACTAGACCACATCCAGTATAGCTCAATATGTAAGACATGGACTCGGAAGACATAGGATTTTGGATACATCGATGTCGAATATATGGGTTATCTTCCTATTAATAGCGGTTTCGACGTCGGATGTGCGAAAATATCATGTCTATAAAGCGTCATCGAGAGATATCATCCAGAATGCACATGTATTGATAGCTATTGAAGTGATTCGTCCAATGGTGACTAGTTCGAACCGTAATTCCCTGGTCCGTCAATACGTCGAACCAGAAAAATGACCGTACAGGCTACGAATATTGCTCATGGTCCATTTTTGGCCTAGCGGTATTTCGTCCCACGACTCGACACAATACGTATACTACTGTCGATACCTGTCATATGCTTTAAAACATGGGACTGTTTCATTATGCAGTAAGTATATCCTGTCCCCCTAGAACACTTACCATACTTATTTTACTTATCTCCGCCAATATATATCTCTATCTTCAACCTCTTCTAGTATAAATACCCTGCCTATGCTTATGTGGTGGTGTTTTGTGCTATGTGGTACCAAGTACCAGCATGCATTTCATCTGTGTATTTACAGGTCGTACTTGGGTGGTAAGATCACCCGGATTACTAGGGTGCGGGGAATGAACAAACTGGTAATAATGGCCCGAGCCGAGCCGCCATGGTTTAGGCGATGATCGAGTCCGATCATGAGGTGTACTAGGGATTATGCGGCCACCTCGTAGTACAACAGTTGGGAGATCATCGTTTTACCACTGTATTTTAAAACTGCAGCTAGAAACGCCTCGTTACTACCAGCAGTCGGGCTTCCGACTCTGAGCCGGATAACGGTAATTCGCAATTTCCATTATATTACACACAACCGATATCCTAGATTGGGGCTGAGGCTTATCGTAGGCTAAGGCTAACTGATTCAAACATGACATGAACTAGCCTCTTAAGTACGCTGGTGATTGCTTTAATTAATTACACCACCTGGCTGGATGTTCTACAATTCACCACTATTACTTGCTTTTACCAACCACTTATCATTTATTAACTATGCCCCGGCTACTACATACACTGTTATATGAATCAAACAGACATGTCTTCTTCGTCTCTATTTACGGCATCCCCTACATTTTCGGTTCCTAGTGAACGTCTCCATATCTCCTACTTCTTACCCGAGTCCCCTGCACACTGTGCCTTCCTCGTCAAACTATGGAACACCGAAGACTTCATCAAATCCTGCGGCCGCACTGGCATTGATACGCCAGAGAAGGCCTTCAATTTCCTTCGCAACCGTGTCCACGCTGACTATGCCCGAAATAAGTACGGCATTTTTGTGGTCTCGCTCAAGCCGTATGAGAATGCATCTTTGTCTGAAAGCACCCCCATCGGCACCGTGTCGCTGATGAAAGGTGAGCCACCAAATTCTTATTTGGCGCCCGATATTGGGTATGCGATCCTACCCGAAGAAACTGGAAAGGGATATGCCACCGAAGCGGGGGTTGCATTGCTGGAGTATGCGCGGAGAGAACTCGGAGTCGATTCGGCATTTGGGTTCTGTGCGAAGGACGACCCCCGCAGCGCGAGGGTGTTGGAGAAGATCGGTTTCGAATCTCGAGGAGAAAAGAAATTGAAGGTTTTTGGAGGGAAGGAAAGTGCCGTTTATGTACTTCCTGGGATGAGACAAGATCTGACGGTGTATAACTTAGATGATTGAGAGAAAACAGTTACACGCTCCTGTTCCATGAAGCATGATGTATCTCTAGCTTTCTACCCGCGGACTTATAGCTGGCTCAATAACTCCTTCTTTTACACTATTTCTTTGAATCTTCGCTCCATATCAAATTAAGGCCACCGGAAAAGCACAAACGAACGGGAAGGAGAAGACATCCATGTAATAAATAGATCAAGAAATAAATGCTAATATATTACTTGAACCTGTGTGCGAAATATTGTATGAAACATTATATACCGATTATCACGGTTGAGACTATTAGTCACATTCTTGTAGTGTGTTGAGTTGAGGCTACTTCCTAATTCGTACAACGCAAGCGTTCTATATAAGAAGAATATCCTTACGGCTACGTGTCACCCGCTGGTGTCTAGTCACTGTTAACCGAGCAAGCACGATACATACTCTAAACCTCAGCTTTTCAATAAGGATAAAGTCACCCTACTACCCATGTAAGGAATGACTTGCTTGTGGTTGCCTTACTTTCCAGGTTAAACTACATACCTGAGTAGAACTACCATCGTTAGTAAAGTCATCTTCCAGACACTCAAAGGAAAAGTGACAGGTGGATATAGAGGATAGTAGGAGAATTGATCTTGGAATCGATGTCTTTTGTCCCTGGAATTTCACGATAATTCTAAGATTGGCAATGGCTTATTCATTCTATAACGGAACCTTGGAATCTTGGAAATGTTCAACATCCGAGGCTTAATCTGTAGAGACCTTAGAAATTCCTCATCTCCTTTTGTCTCTTATTTCCTCTTTTATAGAGTAAAGTGAGAGTCTTTCTTCACCTCTCTGTTACATCTTAGTCTCCTCTATTTTATTTTTTACCCCGTCTGCTATCCCCTCCTTTTCTCTTTTAGACATCGGTTCCTTCACTTCCGAGGTTTGCCCTTTAACTCCGGCAAATCATTTTCTTCACGATGCCTATTTAGGACAGGCTGCACCTTCTAAGGTTCTCCCACTTCACTCTTACCCATGTAGGTAGTAGTTACTTCTCTATCACTTCTCGCACACTTGTGTCTCACTTTCTTCTCACTCCTCTATCTAAACGACTCAGGTCGTCTTGCCGTCAGTTTCTAGTAATTTGAACCCCATTTGACATTATTAGCCCTACGAATCTAAAAGGGTATCGTTCACCGCCATATCCCAGCCACGTCCTAGGTCATATATATTCCGGAAGTGCCCTAAACAGAACACGGAAGAGGGAGATATCTCTTGTCAAGATGGGAAAAGACACGCAAGATGTCGAGTGGTACCGCTGCTGGGCCAAACGGGTCAAGGGAAAGTGCAAGCAATATAATAGTGGCGAAGCGACATTGACACAGCTTGATGCAACTATTAGCCAGCTCCCAAGTAGTACCATGACTGTGAGTTGTGAGGAACTGGGATTGCCTGAAGTTGAATTCGGCTTCGGACTTCGTTATGGACCCTATGGCAGGCAAGCCTGGATGGATCCGCATCAATTTGTCACTCTCCCACAGGCGTTCCGTAAGTGGACAATGTTCACTTTTACTACCTTTATCCAAGCTAATTATTCAAAGTCGATAATTTCGCAATAACATTCGAAATGATAAGGAACTCCTCTATCGAGAACGAGTCGCAAGCGAGGCCCCTGATCACGAAGTTGTTGGAGGCTGTTTGTAAAGAGCTTCGACTCTCCGGTTTTGCTGGGCCCAACGACATGCGCATGCTTCAAGAAGCAACGTTGACGTTCTACCCAATAAATTATATGGACAGTCGGAAACTTCAAAAGGTCCGTTGCGTGGGAAGAACAGACTATTCCTTCTATTTCAGTGACAAAGAAGCTCAAGCTATCAGTCTCGTAGTACTCGTGCGCTATGGGAATGGCTTCAGCGACGGGCAGATCCTTGCCTATATGGCTATGGTATGTATGGGCAGACAGGAAAAGAAGGAAACAAAGTGACTGCACTGTCTATGGTTGCGTAACAGACGCCGTGGACTCCTACTTTTTCCGACTCGCTCATGACGGTACAGGTATCAGGTCGAAGCTGCCAATCTCCCTTCCTCTATTTCCCAGTAATGGGGTGAACCTGGTTGCGAACTTTCTCGCGAGCATCCTTTAAGTACAGCCTCGACACTCCGTTGCATTGGTCAGTACCCACGATTGCTGCAGAACAGTGGTATAGCATGTAACCCCTCTTCAGGTTCCGGTCTCCAACAGCTTTACTTATGTTTTTAATCCATCTCTATAATAAGGTTGAAACTGTTTTGCTCGCTTCTAGTTTAGTCCGGTCGGTACTGTCTTATGTCAATGATGATCGGCCTAATCGGGTTACCGCCTTCACTACCGCCTTAGTCATCTTCCTTCCATGAGGTACCTAGGTACAACCTTGGAAATGTACGCGAACAGTTAGCCGCTTATACGCCTTGTCATGTCTATTCTGGTAGCCTTTCTAGTAGTCTTTTTGGGAGTCTTTTGGGTAGTCTTTTACATATCTTCTTTGATATTTGCTTAAATGCACCCTTTTGTAGATTCTCTTCTCTTTTTTAGTGATATCGTTAGAAGGATAAGTCGACTGTCGCGATCTGCATATGTCGCATACTTCCATATGCAAGTCATATGTCAGAAATCGATCAGGTCTAGTGGCTCTATATCGAAAGCAAGCAATTTTATGAAATCATATGGAAATGATTCGGCTCGTGCGAAGTAAATTACTATTTTCTGCCGGCAAAAACCCGGTTGTCCCTCAACGGCGGCCCTCGTACTCATCGTCCCAAGCGGGCGCTCCATTTCCAAGTTCTGCCTTGCTTCTTTTTCTCTTGATGATGTGATGAAAGATTGATTTCTCATTGATTTCTCTTTTTTTTTCCTCTGCCACCTTTCCTTTCCACCAATCTCTTCAATCCCAGTCGTGCTTTCCACTTTCAACGACGCGAGAACAACGCGAGAACAATACAACTAAAACTACATTTCCCGACTCCATGGGATGCAGCCATGATCAAAGTACGTGTCGCGCAATGCTACAATGATGTCCACACCATCGTCTTCCACGCGTCTTCCCCCGACCTCCCCGCAGGTCACCTCGTCGGTCGTGAAGTTTCGCTGCCTGTACACTCATGACCTACGCCGCAAGTCCAAACGATGGCACGATGGCTACCTACGGTATCATAAATTCAACAAACGTGTCATGGTCTACGATGACCAAGGAAATTTTATCGGCGACCACCACTGGCGATCCCCCGATGATGTACAAGATGGCGACGAAATGGAGCTGGACAAGGGAGTCCTAATTGAGGTGACCGAGAACATGGGCACAAGTGAGACGGATATAACAACCCTATACGAAAAGAAGAAATCCAGCCAGGGTTCGCCACAGACCAGAGACCCGGTGTCCCAAGTCCCCCGCACCTCCACCTACACCTCAGCGTCTGCCTCCACCTCGGCACCTCTTCGTTCATCCGGTTCGTCCCAGTCATTTCGCTCACTCAATGATTTGCTGGGCATTAAAAGGACTCCAATCGGACATTTGGTGTCTCCATATGAGCAAAGGAATCCTCCATGGCCAGCCTCCAGCATCCAGGAACCTGAACGAGCCGCGAAGCGACAAAAGACATCGGCGGCGGTGAATCGAAGCGCTGAGAAAGGCCCGCATGCCCAGAGCGAGGTCATTGATTTAACCGATTCAACCGCAACTCAGGGACTCTCCGCGAGGCGAAGGCCAAACCAAGTAGTAAAAGAACCATCCAGAGCCGGGGGTGATTCTACGACTGATGTACTCCTGACAAATAGTAAGCAGAGGTCAACACTTCAGTCAAAACAGATTCGTCCACAAAGACCCAATCCTCCTTCATTTTTAAGAGTCTCTGCTTCAGCTGCATCCGAACCAACCTCCGGCCTACCAACACCCGAGGAGGTAATCCCTACGTCCAACAACAGTGACCAGCCTAGGCCCCTAGGCAATAAATCGAAAGATGCACCGCCGCATATCCAGCCACCAAGACCCCTCCTGCCCTCATCAAAGGATTCTCTTCCTCCTGTAACCTCAGAAACAGAAATACCCAGGCCTCGAGAGGACCTGCGCGTGGAGCAGCCATCAATCCACCGTGAGAACGAGTCAAGAGCTGTGTCACGTCCCATCCCACCACAAAGGTCTCACCCTCCGACGGTTTCAAGAAGCTCTCTTCCAATTGCACCCAAACCCTCTGGTGGATCTACACCACAGGCGCCAGTGCGTGCAGTCACAAATTATGTGAGACCTATCGAACCCGCAGGCAATCAAGCTTCAACCAACGTTCCACGTTCAGCCAACGTTCCAGCTTCAACAAACATGCCACCTCCGTCACGTCCATCTTCCGCGCTAGGCTCTGGTGCACCTACGGCAGCTCTACGCATGGGAACCGGAAAGCCACGCAGAAAGTTAATGTACAGTGCTTTACTGCCCAGCGCTTCACGAACTCCATCGCCAGCGACCTCAGATACACCACCTGGTAGTGCAACCCGTGGACCCGTCACAGATACCCCGGAGCAACAGTTAGTATGTACCCACTCATTAACCAAGACTGTGATACTGACTTCTGTTTAGGCTGCCCGCCGCTCCAGATAATTCCTCAACATCAATTGAAGAGTTTATGCCTTCGAGCTCAACCCAATGTATCTTCGACGAAATGATAGATGGATCAGGGTTCAAATCGCCCTCCACGATCAAAGGGTTAACCGGGAAAAGATCTCTCGATTCGCCCTTGCACAAATCGATGTCGGACCCGACTGCCTTAACGGCCCGCCAGGCCCGGGCAGGAGGATCCTTTCACGCAGCCAACCAGGAAAACGAGCCCAAAGAGCAAGGGCCCTGGACATCCGAGGCATTGGATTTGTTTGACTTCTGGCCTGCCGGACGACCGAAACCGATCGAATGAAATACAATGGTTCGGTCTGAGAGCCGTGCATCAGGTTTTAAGCTACAATGAGCTGGGGTTAAACCAACCCGACAACGCAAAAGACAAGCACCTTTCAAGGCTCTTGTACCTAGCGACGTCCACCTCTCATGAGAAGTAACCGCCAAATCGCCGAAACCCCCCTCGTCGACCCTGCTGTTCTCGATGCCAAGGCGGTGAGCAGCTTTCTGTGGTATTCCTGCGAGAGACAGGCTATTGTTCAAGGTGCGGGCACTCACGAGTGCATACTTTGCAAGAATACTACTCGCAATTCCTGTTGGAAACCCACGCAATCATTCTTCAGGTTCTAACCGCCTCTCTGCCCCAGAGCCGCCAAAACCTATCTATGGCGGATTTGAGGGGCTTGCCACATGAAGTTTATTTATGTCGGTTTGTCCGAAAGGAAACATCGAGACCCAGACACATCCCTGACGACCTCATTGACACGAGTGAAAATCTGATAGAAACAATCAAAGATACCCATTTGACAATTTGACATTGATGCAAAATACATGTACCTAGCTCAGCTCAGAAATAGAGATATCTGACAACCCTAGACCCCCTTCTTAACCAGAGTCCCAGAAATATAAGGCATAACCGACCACTCGAAATTTCTCTCCAAGTCAACCCTCTCCCACCCGCCATCCACATCAGCCGCAGCCCTCAAAGCCGCCTCAGTATCCCTATTCAAGCAACAATCCCCAATAAACCAACTCCACCCAAGAACCTGATACAAACCCTGCACAACCCGCGCAAAAAGCGACCCCTTCGCCCGCCGCCACGGGTTAACAACATGCTCAGTAACAAGCAACCGCCCACCGGGCCGAAGCATTCGGTACAGCTCTTCCACCGTGCGCTCCATCTCCGGCACCGAGCACAGCACCCGCACGCACAGGATCGTGTCGAAGATGCCCACACACGGGTCGAGATCGTACGCGTCCACGACGCCCGTGCCCGTCGCCCGCAATGCGGGGATCAGTTCGTCGGCTGCTACGCCGGTAGGCACGATGTGGTATTTGGATGAGATTTTCTCTGCCTGCGCTTTTGTGGAGAGAGAGCAGTGAAGGCTTTTGCATGGCTCGGCGCCGTACAGGGCTGTTATTGCTGGTGAGGTGAGTAGTGGCATCTGCGTGCCGGTGCCTGGGCCGATGTCAAGGACTATCCCTGAGGCTGTGCGGAGGATTGGGGGGATTAGAGCTGAGGAGCCCACTAGCTCGGGGATCTCTTTGTTGTTTGGGTCGGAGGACATTTGGCGGGGTGCTGTGATGGTGGTTTGGTTAGGATCTGTGTATTTATTTGTGTTTATTCGGTTTTTTTGATAAGGCGTTCTTTTCTTTCCCGTTTGTTGTTTTGTAGAGATTCAAGAAGCAAGAGGTTCCGCTCTGGGTTTCTTGATCATAGATGTGGTGGGCTGGACTCACTGCTGAACTCGATCCAGAATCTTCCAAATGCTTCATCGCGGAGTCTCCGCGTCTGAGTAAATGGGGCAAGGAGCTGGCCATTTTTGAAGACTGCTTCGGCGCAAACTCGGATATAGTCTGTAGTATTGCAGTTAGTAATGTGCTATTTTATAGAAGCTGAGGAATTGGTGCTGATGTGTGCGGAATGTGCAACGATATATCAGACAGAATACAGAGATTCCGGCCAAAAGACAGAAGACAATACAAAATGGATACAGCATAGGGTAAATACAAGCGTATCGAAATCACATCAACAGTAGAGCAGATACAAGCAGAGCAAAAGTACATCCACCGAAGTCGAATCCCATTTATTGGGATCGAAGCCATTCGGTGTTTGTTCGGCGTCTGTACTTACGCGACATCGCCCAAGTTAAGAGATATGCTGGCTCAAACATTCCGAGAATTCGCCCGATGAGCGGCGGGGGGCTTTCGGACGACATTATGGTCAGAGAATGTCCAACCCCCGATTTTACCCACCCAATGAGTACTGGGAGGAGAGAATGCAAGAGGAGGTTTATATAGTGAGGGCACAGATATCACACACGTGACAGACTTTGCGGGGACTCCGGCATCTCCAGGGCTATGATCTGATGACCAATGAATGGATGGCAATGGCATGATTATTCGAATGGATGATTATATTGTCTCATCTGGCATTACGAAATCAAAATTAATCAGGCATAATCCAACAACATTGAACATAGACTAATATCTAGCATCCTGGTCTGGTGCAAATTGCACAAATACTCAAAAGATGGTCACACCGGAAGAAAGAGCGGAGCCTATCAGTACAAAGACGACGGCTGTAGTGGTCACAGAAATTATCGACATAAAAGGAGAATATAGGAAAAGAGCAGACTCAGATTGGGAGAAACGTTCCAGCAGGACGCAATGATTGAACGAAGGACAGAGACGGAGCCAGTATGAGATTTGAGATCTGTAGAGAGTAAAGAAAGAAAAAGATCGTAGATGAAGAGAAGGTGGGGGAAGTTGGGTTGAAACTATCCAGGGAGTTTCAAAGCCAAAGAATCCAGAGTCACCAAAGAGTACATGATTCAGTTGAGTCTCGGTTTTGAGATTGGAGGCATTCCACACTCGTGTGGAAGAAGCTAAGTTGCAAACAGTATTAGAAGGGTTGGAAGAAAAGGAGACTCGTCGTCATTATCTTATAAGTGACTTGAGTCTGGGTTGAGGACCTGCCCACAAACCCTACGAACAAATGTCAATCTCATTGGAAAATGTTCAGTGACGGTGGGGTGAGTGGATGCGGTTGACCCTCGGGCTGTACCGACTGGTGCGAGAAAGAGAGCCAACATCATGTTTTCCGTCGCAACAGGCGCGGACATTTTCGAGCCGGTCTTGTTCCTGAGTTTCGATCACTTGTCTCAGATCATCGGCGCTTTCTTGGCCATGCAGACTTTCGTCGTGGACACTAGGAGTTTGACCGTGCCGTCCCTTCAAGCTTGCGATGGATCCCCGAATGGAACTAGAGATGGTGCTGAGTCTTGACGAGGAACGTTGGCGATCATCGGGAACTTGTAACGACGAGTTTGGAACAGGTGAACTGAGCGCCGGTGATGCACGCCCACCGAGAGTCCCGGAAGACCGCATGGACATCGCCGAGGCCGCTCGCCGCTGTTGCTTGGCTGCTTGACGAGCGGTGCGGCTATTGTAAGATGAGAACGACATCCGTGCTGTCTGGCGAGAACCAGACTGGAAGCTAGGGGGATTGAATTCGTTGATATCGTCGAGGGTTACGCTGTTATTGTCCTCGCAGCTGTCGTTGGTCTCCCTTAAAAGGAGGTAAGACAATGCGTTGAACCATGTCTCGTGCCTCTGGCTCGTCGTAGCCGTAAAGCGAACTCGTCGGCCAGGACTGACAACCTCCAAGCTCCTGCAGTGAAGACCTGGAGGATACGGGTTGTCATCCGCAACCACTCGAACAGCCTCGATAGGCACACTCTTGGTTCGGAGCTCACTCTTTCCGGCAGTTTGCGGGTCCTGCGTGCTCCAGTACAAAGTACGAGTGTACGGGTGAACCCAGAAATATCGTCGGTGCCGTGTTGTGGACATATCCGCTGAGCCGGTCTTCCGAGTGTACTTCCAAAGGAATTCACCGATCATGGTTTGAGTAATCGCTTGGATCATACGTGGATCCGTATTAGGTCCATAGCCATGAGGCATAGGGCCAGCGTGAGGGGCCATGTTGAAACGCTCCTCGAGCTCAGACGCAAAAGACGACACTGAGGATCGTCGAGACATCTGACTTTGACTTTCTCTCCTCATTCTAGCCTGAGATGAACCGGTTCTTGAGGAGCTAGCCCGCGCAGCATGTTCGCCTGGCGTAAGTGGGCGCTGGGAGTTCATGCGGTAGGCGGAGGCAGGTGCCAAAGGAGGCCCCATTATAGAGGTAGGAGATGGCGGAGGCATATCGATCGGCCTCTTCTCGGCTGCCATGATAGCTTCCCGGTGATCGGCGGGCAGTGGGGGATGACTGACACTGGATGTCTGACTGGCCGCACTGGGAGGCCGGCGGTGAGTTGGCGTCGTTGATTTCGCAGACGGAATTTGCGAAAGGCGGGGTCGCGTCGGAGCCTTGGGTGTCACGTAAGGAGATGCGGCAGTTGTAGTGACTGCGGCAATCTCTCGTGAGTTGTCCGTTACCTGGCTGTCGGAAGATAGCGGGCGTGCGGACACACGATCCATAAGGATTTGATCTATCTGTTTAGAGGACAGGATAGTCTGGGATCCTTGGTCCATGCTCACTGAAATAGATTGCTGTCTAGCAGAGCGGGCAAGGGCGTTGCCAGAGATATCGTTCAAGGCCAGTCCAGCACCAGCGAGCCGATCACTATTGGCGGTGCTAGTGCGGCTACGAGTAGCACCAGTAGGCTCGTCTTTGTGAACAATCACAGCGGCACCTGCGGCCTTTGACTCTGTCGACTCGGTTTGAGTAGACAAGTCTGCCACCGCAGGGATGACAGATGGCATAGACTTCACTGGATGAGTTTCCACAGAGCGGACAGAGGAGAATGACAATGCCGGCGTAGGGGCAAGGCGGGGCCTTGGAATAATAGGTTCCGTGTATGCTGGGTTGAGGGAAGAGATTGTCAAATTCGGTACCTCACGCTCACGTTCAACGTGCTTGATAACATCGACGTATTGGATGACAGGTGGCTCCGGTTCAGGAACAGTTGCTTTGACGGGCGTAGTGGATTGAGCGGTGATCGAAGAGAACGTCAATTCGGGCACCTCACGCTCACGCTCGACGTGTTTGATCACATCGACGTACTCGATGATAGGCTCTGCTTTGGCGACAGTTGGGTGTATAGGGGCAGTGGACTGGTTGTTGATGGTAGAGAAGGTCAACTCAGGCACCTCGCGCTCGCGCTCAACGTGCTTGATAACGTCAACGTATTCGATAACGGGCTCCGGTTTAGCAAGACTTGCATGTGCAGGCGCAGTGGATTGAGTGGTGATAGAAGAGAAGCTCGACTCTGGCACTTCACGCTCACGTTCAACGTGCTTAATGACATCAACGTATTGAATGACAGGCGGCTGCGGTTCAGGAACAGTTGCTTTGACTGGCTCGGTGATTTGAGTGGTGATGGAAGAGAAGGTCAATTCGGGGACCTCAGGCTCGCGTTCAACGTGCTTGATCACATCGACGTACTTGATGATAGGCTCCGGCACAGCAAGCGTCGCCTGGACAGGGACGGTGGAATGATTATTGATGGAGGATAACGTCAACTCGGGGATCTCGCGCTCGCGCTCGACGTGTTTAATTATGTCGATGTATTTGATGACAGGTTCTGGCTCAGGAACAGTTGCCTGGATTGCCTGGACAGGTACTATCGACTGGGCGGCGACAGACGAGAAGCTCAACTCTGGCACCTCACGCTCGCGTTCGACGTGTTTGATACAAACATCGACGTACTTGACGATAGGCTCTGGCACAGCAAGTGTTGCATGGGCAGGGGAAGTTGATTGATTGGTGATGGAGGAGAAGGTCAGCTCGGGCACCTCCGGCTCCCGTTCCACGTATTTGATGACATCAACATGCTTGATGATTGGCTCAGGTACGAGAATCGCTGGTTCAACGGGATTAATAGTTTGTGATGAAATTGAAGACACCGTCATTTCCGGCACTTCCGGCGGGGTTAGCTCATGCCTCACAGGTGTGGTGGTGCCCCCAGTGATGTATGAGACACTGAGATCAGGCCGCTTAGGTGCAGAAGGCGTGGTCTCTTGGCAAGAAACGTCCGCCACGTCCATCTGTGGTAGGACAGGTTGAGCGTGGACATTGTCCTGCTGGTCTTGCACCGAACGCTCTTCCTTCGTTTCCTCAGCGATCTCCCGGTCTGCTGTTTGAGCTGCCTGGGGTGCAGCGAGAGCATGCGGCAGAGCAGCTCCTGCAGCGAGACCGGCAGCTCCAGCAAAAACTCCAGCACTGATAGAAGGCGCCGGCTCCCAAGGTACAGTCATAACACCAGAATCCACCATCGCGGGCGTAGAGGGTGCATCCAGCATTGCATCCGAGGGTCTTCGTGAACCCGATGCAGGCTCCATGCGCGGCGTCGAAGCTTGGGAGGTGACTTCATCATCATCGCCGCTGCCGAGCTCTGCAAGTTCGGCAAAGAGGCTCTGGCCCTCTCGCGCTGCCGGCGCTGGCGCAAAGCTGGGTGCTGCGGATTCGCGTGAGCTCGAAGGTCGACTGGTAGATGCGAATGTAGCCTCTCCAGATGGACGAATGCGTCTCGAGATGCTGCGTTTAGACTTAACACGGGGTCGTGAGGTATTCAATTGGCTTGGAGAGCCGAACGCTCTATCATATTCCTCATCATCGGAAGATCCGGAAGCAGTGCTGTTATATGAGGCGCGGTCGCGAGCTTTGGCCATGACTAGGGAAGAAGGCACTCGGCGGCGAGGAGTTGTCCGTACGCTATTTTCCGTCTCGGTAAGATCTGCGGAATCGCTGCTGTCATCCGCCATGCTTTCGACACCAGTCTGGAATGCTTCGCTCTCAGTTGCGGTTGCCCGCTCATTCGCTGTTTCAAATCCATCTTCCGCCTCAGTAGCTGTCTGGTAGACATCGCTAGGTCCATCGGGAGACTCCGAGCGAGGGCGGCCCCTAGTGGACATCGCCTTGGCGTGGGTCTGGGTAGGACTGATTTGGCCGGCGTTGTCTTCCCAGTCCGTGTCGTGAAGCTCAACAAATGATTTTTCTTTGCGACCTGCGCCCAGAAGATCTGGGCGGGGAGGCTTTCTGGACGAATCTGTCTTGGTCTTCTGACGTTTGCTAGTTCCGTTTAGCGCAGTGCTATCACGGCGGCGTTGCTCAACTTCATCCCGAGCATCTTGCAGCATGCGCTTGAGCTCAATCTTTTCGGTCTTCTCGCGGTGAATTGTGCTCTTAAGGTTCTGGATCATGCGATGAGCATGGCCGAGCGAACTCTTCAAAGTTTCCGATTCAAGATGGCCATGCCGAGGAGTGAACTTGTTGGGGGATGGTGGAGGAGAGTTTTCAGGTGTGATATGCTCGGGCTCATTGCCCTCGCTGTCATATGAAAGATCCCTAGGGCCTTGGTTTTCATGGTCCCGGAGCCTCATGGCAACTGCCTTGGCGAGTTCTTGATTTTGAGAAGTCATTTCCATCAGCTTCTTTTGGAGCGCGGCCTTTTCAGCATCGCCAGAAGTCAGATTCCGCCGCAATAAATGGATTTCAGCGTCATTTGCCTTCTGCGTGAGGCTCTGATCTTCAAGTAACCTCGCATTGGTTTGCCTTAGCTCCTCCAGCTCTCGTTCCATGGCGTTCTTTTCCGAATTTGACGATGTTATAGTGCTGTTGAGCCGTTGTTCACGTTCCGTGGCCTCCCTCGCAGCTGCCATCAACTCATGTGCTTGAGTCTCTAGCGCCCAGTTCTCGTCCTTGTACCGTTGCTCACTGTCGTCGAGCGCCCGGATTCTTTGTGCATACCCCTCTGCCTCCAACTCAAGTCGCGATTTTTCCAAATTAACAAACTTGAGTGTCTCATCCCGTTCTGCGAGAAGAGCTTGCAGTTGGCGGACCTGGGCCAAAAGTGAAGTGGAGATTTCTGTCGCAAATTCGATATCGTGGACACGGTTCGATGGTTGATTGCGTTGCTTGCGAGATGGAACACTGACTTTGCTAGGGGAATTTGTAGCTTGACTGGCGAACAAAGCGGGACTTAGGGGTGACTGTCAGAACTCGAGGTTAGTTCGGCTAGGAATCGGACTAGAGTCAGACATAAGACCCAGGCAGTACCTTTTGATCGAAAGATGGCGTCCCAAGCTGAGCATCCTCCGGGCCTCCGGCAAGACGTTTGGGTGCTAAAAATGCCCGTGCGGTCTCACGGCCGATCTCATTGTACTCTTTCTCCAAATCGGCAAGTTTGCGTCGCAGTTCTGGGCCCATCTCTCCCTCATTCTGCTCCTGCTCAACCTCCTTCAACTGTTCTGATAGTTGCCGCTGCTGATCGATAAGGGCCGTTCCTAGCCTTGAAGCCTCCTCCAGTCGACGCTCCGTCTCCGCCAAGTGGGCCTCGAGGGCCCGTTTGGCCTGTGCTGGTGAAGACGCATTTAGGCTGTATAGCTGGGTATCGAAGGACGAGTACCGATTATTGGAGTCGCCAGGGACAGCTGGCCTTCCGGAATTCGCAACGAAGGGGTCTTCCATGGATGCAAATGACCCGGCGGCCTCAGCATTGGATGCGGTCATTATTTGGGAATCGTGGCCCTCGAACGGCATCTGAATCCTCTTAATGACGAGGACACAGTTACCGTTGAGATATCGGGGACTCGCGGCTTGATCTTTGTTGTGATTCTAGGCCGCGGGCATCATCCGAATCACCGCGCTCGGTCAAAGACTGTTATCGCAAGACGGTTTCCGTTGAGATCTTTGCCAAGCCGGCCAGCGACCAGAAGTTGTTCGAAGTTTTTCGAGATTACCACACGCTGGTGTCGATGCGATGGGCGTGGAATGGCACACCCTTGAAAGATGTGGCAGGGAAGAGGGGGAAAGCCCACACAATCAAAAACAACAAACACCGAGGACCTTCGGACGAATCAGTGAGCTTCCGGTGAGATTGACCAGACACGCGCGCAGAGATGCAACTAACCACAACAAAGTGCTCGGGATCTGCAGGGCCTTTGAAATCGGCCTTGGTGGTCTGAATGAACGAAAGACTAAAAGACAAAGGGAAAACAAAAGGACAGCTAACTTAAAAAAGAAGTAGAAAAAAGAAAGAAGGGAGCGTAGGGAGTGATTGGACAGGTCGAGTTTGGATGACTCGGCGGGGGAGAAAAGGGAAGAGAATAACGAGAGTGAGCGAACGTGGTGTTGTTATTGCCAATTGGCGCCGGTGTTTGAGATTCCCGATCGATAATCACCCCAGATGGAGAGACGAATCTACGATACTAGGCTGTATTCTTTATTCTGGATTTTCACCTTTAATTTACTATAAAACTGTAAAAGCAATACGAAGCGCTGATTCGACATGTTCCTGCGTGTAGTTTTGCTGTGATTTATCAAACGCGTCCCAAAGTGAGGATGTCGTTTGTCTTGTTTGCATCATGTCTGCTTAGTCATTTCTCGATTTCTCGATGACCCATTCGATATCCGATCTTGGATATGCGCGCATCTTGACAACCTTTGCATCTGACACATATTGCTTGAACATCTACGACTAACCTTCAACAATATCTAACATAAAATATGACCGAAGAAATTGAAGTTGCAGCCGCCGCACCCCAAGTCGCTTTCAAGAAGCGCTCCAAGGGCAAAGCCAACTTTCGCAAAAAGCCCGCGACGCCACCTCCTGCTTCTGACTCTGACTCTGACTCCGACTTTGTATCCTCCGATGACGATGAAGGACACCGAATCAAGAGGCGACGCAAGAATGCAGCTGTCACCGCATCGTCCACATCAAATGCGACAAGGAAACAACGCGCAGAAAACGAACCTACAACCGCGGCCCCCGCTCCATTGACCTCAAGTAACGATGCCACGAAGGCTTCCGACTGGTATGATGAGAACCTGAGCGAGAAGAATCTATTGGGCACAACCCGGGCAAAACCAGTCTCTGCCTCGCAGCCGGACGGAACCTACAAGGGCGCGGCCAACTATCAATCTTTCATTCAGAAGAACCCCGATGCACCAGGGAAATTCGGTCCAGTCAAAGCTGCAACCAACGTCAGGACTATCACAGTGACTGATTTTGCCCCCGATGTGTGCAAGGATTGGAAACAAACTGGCTACGTGAGTTACGCCCTCGCCTCCATCTGTTTATCGTGAGTCGAGACTAACCCATCTAAAATTAGTGCGGCTTCGGAGACAGTTGTAAATATCTCCATTCTCGGGAGGCATACAAGGCAGGATGGGAGCTGGATCGTGACTGGGAAATCAACACCAAGGGCAAGCAATTAAGTGGGCGAGTGGTTTCACAGCGAAAAGGCGCGGGCAAAATCGCCGAGGAAGACGATGATGACGAGGAGGATGAATTGCTAGAGAGCATCCCGTTCGCCTGCCTCATCTGCTTGAAGCCCTATCACGAACCTATCATCACCAAATGTGGGCACTATTTCTGTGAAGCGTGTGCCCTACAGCGGTACCGGAAAACCCCGTCGTGTGCTGCCTGTGGCGAGGGAACTGGGGGTGTCTTCAACGTCGCAAAGAAGTTGAATACTCTGCTGAACAAGAAGCGGGAACGTGCGCGCAAGGTCCGAGAGGAGGCGATTGCAAATGGGGAGGAGGTCAGCGATGAAGAAGATGGCGATAATAGTGATTAGCCAGGGAAGATCTCTGTATAGCATAATATAACAAAAAGCAGCTGGCCTGCAACACTTGTCCTCTGACAATGTATCAAAACTTGTCTATTTATGTTGATTATCTCCATTGGCTTACCTTGACATTGAGCACTTCACATGGGCTTTGTATATTATGCGTGCCCCAAATCAGCTAAGTATAAAATAGAAGGAATATATCTTTTCCATTTCGGCCTAGGATTATTTTGGAAGAGTGGGCGTTAAGGCACTATACGGCATTAACTACGATCTCCCGAGCGTTATGCATGAGGTAATTACTGAATACATTCATAGTATCCGTATGTGTTACTCCAGCTGGATATTGCTTTGTTCCCGATACTTTTGATGAACTTGCCGCTAATACCTCTTCTACCGCCCACAGGCCGTACTGCTCGCATTGACAACGAGGGCATCGCCATGTTGTACTGTAGTCTACTTGAGGCCCGTGTGCCAGACGCGGCACCATTTACCGCATTAAGCCATGGAGACTTCCTACTGTTCAAGTACTCCATACTCCATACAATGTACAACAATACGCCAGTTCAACAAGCCTAGAGTCAACCCTGAGATCAGCGAGATCTTCACTGATCCAACGAAGATCAGACGAGCCAAGAAATAATATCGACGACCACACGGCACGCAAACATTTCGTGTAGTCGATATTCCATTACGACGCAACTCCCACGAGGACATACACTCGCGAAGGGCAACAAAGCTTTTTAGGTTGTTGCATGACATGACAATGAAAATGCGCCCGGGCCTTTTGAAGTCTCGCTTGAATGTTCCCCGCTTGAGTCCATCAAGGCTCGCTGTGGAGCACGGAGCAGTGAAGTGGAAACTGCCTGTCTATGGCGCAATACAATTAATGACTTGCCTTCTACGGAGTACTCCATACTGAGTATCAAGATGAAGCACCCCTTTCCCATTTCTGCTCTCAGAGACGACATCACCATACATATTGCAATGCCGCTGATCGACCAATATGTGGGCCTGATTCTGTTACAGCCACACGCTGCGATCAAAAAACCCACATGTTTAGGACCCTGAATCTTTGAAGAGTCCGTTCGCCTATGAAATCATACCAAGCAATGCGAACTGTTTAGTTCGATGTCTGCCCACCGAAGTAGGCTGTGCATCAAAAAAGGAAAAGATCATCGGAGCCGACCATTAAAGGCTATGTATTCCGAACAATTTTAAACATTTCAACCAAGCGAGACAGCCCCACTGTGATACGAGCCTACCGAATAATAGTCTTGTGGTGACGACGTATTATTCCCATTTCAGCGTTCCCTTTCCCGTTCTGGGAAATTTTCTGATTTGGCAGTCTCAAACCCAACGCCACGTGCCATTCCATGGTACGGGAAAAACACGCGTGTCGCCACAGTGGATTCCAGAGTTATCTTTGCGATAGGTTACATAATATTGCCTGTCTCTGCCTAGTTACGGAGTACGTCTAGCAGATTCGTAATGCAGCCCTTTTCAAGGTTTAAACTCTTAAGCCTTGATCCCGTCCATGGCTCAAGCGCAAACTCTACGTTAAAAGGGGTAAGCGTGCTCCAGAGCCAAGCTTTTGCTTTTCCCCCAACCACAACCAAAAACCCAAACGCCCCTTGGCATCAAACTAAAGGGCGGCTCCCCTGAGCCAACGCCCCCCGGTGGCCAATTATACGGCCATGACATTGTAAGGAGTCCACTAGGAAGAAGCTCCCCTCTTCTTTTCGATTTCACTTTAATATTCCCAGTTTCCACTTAGTACGGGGTAATCTACTTTTAATCTTCCTTACTACTTCCCCCTTACTACCTTCGCCCGTCAGTCTTTCCATTATTGTTTCAACCGCGCCTTCCTTTCGTATCATTTTCGCCTTCGAATTTGCCTTCAGACGTCTTGGTACTTTGGAACAATCACTTGCCCCTATTTCGCATCACTATTATACATCGGAAACAAGTATATATCAATGGATTATTAGTGAATCATCAACCTCGACTTCACACCCACGGGTACCTCTCCGCAGAGCGCCCCCCCCCCCCCCCCCCCCCCCCCCCCCCCCCCCCCCCCCCCCCCCCCCCCCCCCC